AACTTCTTACAATTTTTTTGAAGGTGCCTAACATGAAAAATAACTGCAACAGTTTTTAGCCGTTGAACTGAAAATTGTTTTGGTTTTTGAGAAGAAAAAAAAGATCAAGCTTCAAATTTTTTTATGGTTTTCAACTATCGGGAAACGAAGGAAGCTCAATTATTTAAAATGGTTCATGGAGGACTATTTTTTTAACAATAATATTTGCAATGAAAACTTGAAATTCTGAAATACTGGTATATATTGCCCATCATGGAAAATTTCCGGTCAAAACAGTCTTATAAATCACTTTAAAAATTAATGCCGTGCTTTTAACTAATGAAAATTTTGATTCGAAAAAAATACGCTACAACAATTGGCTTGATGAAAACCTCAAAAATTGTACGGAGCTCCCCGGAGGAAATGACCTATTAAATTACGATCATTCTTACAGAAGTTTTTAAACATTTTGTATTAAAACGCAGAAGATACAAAAATTGTCAGATTTGAGATTTGTGGAAAGACGTGATATTTGAAATCCGGATGCATCGTTATAAAAGTAGAAAGGAACTTAGCAAGCTAAAAATTTTTCTTAAACGTCTCAAAAATTTGAAAATACCAAATTTTAAATCAATTTGATTGATAAGTGACATGCTTTGTTTGTAATTAGTCAACTCAGTTTAAAAAACTTTAATTTTTGAAAGTTTTTGTTATAACGAAAAAAAATATATACAATTTTGAGTCATATTTCATTCGATCCAATTTTTTGCAATTGAAACCAGTATCCATCATAAATAGAGTAGAGAAGAATTTAACAAGCTACAAGTATTGCACTAAACGTCTCCCAAGTTTGAAATTACCCAATTATAGATCAGTTTGATTGATAGGCGACATAGGCTTCAATTGTAATTAGTCAGTTCAAGTTAAAAAAGTTTGCGAGAAATTTGGTTATGAAAAAAGAATAAAATGTAAATTCTTGAGCAATACTTCATTGGATCGATTTTTCTGCAATATTTGAACGACTTGTTTTATATTGTCGAAAATGTATTATTCGAAATGTTTTTTTAAATGGCTTCAATTTTCAAGATTTGGACTTAAGATTCAAATTTGGTTTTTCATTTTTTCAACTATTCATATTTAAATGATCATCAATTGCCATTTTTTTACTTAGTTGTTTGCACTTGCGAAGCTAGGAAGCTAGTGTATTAGTACAAACCTTCTTTTTTCAATGTAAGTCGCAAATAGTGGTACCACTTGTGGTGGCAACTTAACTTTTTGATAGCATGTGCTTTGACATTCGATTAGTATGCAGTAACACAGTTGATGCATTTTTATTTCATCAAATGAAACAAAAAAAGCTATTTGCTTCAAACAACAGTACAATAACTAAAACTAGATTTCAGAAACTTTCCAATTCAATATATATCGCAAATTTATTTGAAATGCATAACTTACACTTAATTTGGTTGTATGCTTTGCAATTTTTTACATGCAAAGTTAGTGTGGAGGCTTCAGTTTGTTATATTTCAAATTATTACTTGCTAAACTGAGTCTTTTTGTATTTGGTTCAACTTTTGCTGCAATGCATTGTTAATTTATTAGCATCTCTAACTGTTTTATTCGTGACTAGTGTTTGTCGGTTGTTAAGCTTGCAAGGCTGAAGGGATAGTGCATGTTACTCCAAATCTCTTGATTGCAGTAGGTCACAGGTTCGAATCCTACACGTAGCCGAGTTTTCGCTTATGCGAGGCTTATTTCTACTTTTTTCGTATTTCACTTGATAGAACTGCTTTTTGATCGTGTTCTCGGAAATTTTTGCGAAAGGCAGCTTCGCCTCTGTGTCATATTTTTGATTTTCATTCTACAGTTTGAGGTGTACGCATCATTGTTAAAGCTGTACGACTGTTATGTCTTTTTTACATAATTCACTTTCAGAGATGCAGATTTCAATTTACCCAAAAACCTATAAAAAATGTTTTCTTATTTCTTTTTCTCTTCCTTTTTCAGGTTTAATTTTTCTCTTGTGCACATCATATGGCGTCATTCAACCTGTATATGCCTCAAATCATTAATGTTACAAGCATGCGGGCTAGTGAAATAGTGTTACATAAAAAATGTATATACTTTTTCCTTTTTCAAATTTAACTTTTTCATTGAAATGTTTTTAAATCAATCCATTGATTATATGCCATTTTTCCTTGAGTTTTTGTTTTTTTTTGAAGAAATTTTGAAAAGTAGAAACAAGGAAACCAAGTCTATATACAACCATTTTCTCCTTTAACGTGGGGTGAACAAATTATAAAGACTGCTCAATGACCGAATTTTTTGAACAAAAAGAAGATAAAGTATCTAACTATTAATTTTATACAAGTTGGTATGTGAACTAAAACGAATCGAACTTGTTTTTTTTACAAGTCAAGTGTACATAAGGAAACTGCAAAAATGAGTAGAGTGGTAGAATTAATTTCAAAGAGTTGTCCCTGGATGAATTCTTATTATATTTCCAGTCAAACTCTTCTAAGATGGCGTTGACATCTACGTCGATTAACAAGGACAAGTCGCTTCTTATATCAGCTTCAGTTTCTGCTATTGGATTGGATGACGTTCTTGACTTCTGTAGTTGACTTGGCTAAATCGAGGTTTGAGAGTTGGCGATGTCTGCGTCCAGATAGCCGTATTCTGCCCTCTCTTGAAACTCCCAATTGCGTACCCTATGCTCTGACAGAATAGACCGGTTTTTAAGCAAAATCAGATGTCTCCATTTGGTATTTTCGGTCCCGTTAAAATGCTTTTCAAAAAGAGAGCACCCAATGGTGGATTTTTTCATGATTCTCAAATTCCACAAAAGTTTTGGATTATGATTGTAAAGTTGGTTCGGGTTCAAAATACAAGGCTGATATTTAAGCTTTAACTATTTGGACAAATGTTTTTACGAGTCCGTTTGATCTATTATCTTCCATTGTTCAATGGAAAGTTTTTTTGAGATAGCTGAAATAGAAGAAGTGTTGTTAGCCACATTCGCTTAGGAAAACTTCGTGACCGACCGATACATAATAGAACACATTTTTTTCCGAATCACGAAAAGCGTGCAACGGTCCGGCAAATTCTAAGATAAGCTCTCTATTGTCGAGTGATAAATCCGGAAGTTTAGTCGTGTTACCCGTTGCCAACAATACTTTGAGCCTCTTACCAGCTTTAGGGCACTGATTGAGTGACTTAACGTGGTCGTATATCTCTATATAGACATGGGGCCACCAGACTCAGCTAAAAGTTTCATCCAAATCTGTTCAGAAAATTTTTCGCGTAGCGTCGAGTGAAATGATCCATTAATAAGTGCAGGGACGACTAACTTTTTGTCGAAGAAGAATAGTTCAACCTTGACATGGAGATCTTTCTCAAGTTTCACTTGTTTATCTTATCAATTCCCATCGGTTGCCACTCCTGATTGCCGATATTAAGCCCCTAATAATCTTGTCGTCTTTCGTCATTTGAAGTTATTGCCTGGAGCAGTAAACTTCTGGGATCAATGGGTTGGGAAGGAAGTGGGTAGGGATAGATTTAATATTTGTTTCTAATGAGATTAGATGATCGGCAGGTAAGAGCTCGTCCTTAAGCTTAAGGGCAAAACTTTGTTCCTCTGAGACAAAAAATAATAATGATGCAAGAAATTTTGAAGTTTGAAATGGCCAGTTTTCTACCACTCGAAATGAATTTTTCGCCAGACATAATGAAGTATGGCAGTTATTTGTCGGTGAAAGTAAAATTTAAAAATTATTTTTTATAACTGTCTAATATAAGCAAAATAATGAATAATTTTCTGGCCTAAAACGGGAATTAAACGTAAATCTTGAGAGACTACGCCAAACAAGTAATAAAAACTGCAACAAAAATCGTGAGTTTAAATGAGGCTAATGAACTGATTTCAGCTTTCGGCCGATCAAATTGCTCAATTTTGATGTCCCCACTGGGACAAAATTACTTACAATTAAGGTTACAGAATATACAGTCTTATTACAGAAAAATTTTTTACAGATTTTTTTTGCAATCGGTATTTGAAAAAATGTTCCAAAATTTTGGTAGGTATTCATGGTGTTTCCACCCACTGTGTTTAAATTGAACTGATAACTAGCTGCATCACACAATTTTAGTTGGTTGTAGGGACTTCTAGGATCTGAGTTACCCAATCATAATTGTTCGTTATTTGTGTATTCGGTAATTGTGTATTCGGTAATTGATATGTTTTGTTTGAAAAATCGATTTTTTAAAAAATTAGGCAACGAGTTAATTTCATTGAATCGTTGAATTTTTTATTTTCTTGTAATTAAAATGGAACTCATAGATAACTCTTTGTCACATCTTTTTAATATTTTTATTTGATTTTCGGTCTCTATTCTGTTAAATCTTCTTAAAACCCTGTAAAAAAAGCAGGAATTTTTTTGACTCTGGCAGAAACTGGTTTGAAATGAGAACGAAAGTAGGTGACTTTTCGTTCATTTGGTACTTTACCGATTCTTAGAAGTATTTTTAAAACTTTTTTCGAATTAAACGATAAACATTTTTTTGAGTTAAACGATAAACACTTGTGAAACACAATTACTCACAGTGGTGGTTGGCTGACAGAACAAATGGTCATGGGATTTTTCTTCTGTTTGAGTCATATCCCTAAACTTTACAGGCTGTCAGTCCACATGATGCTCCTATCATGCCCTTCATTGAAAAAACCATGTTATCTTTTAAATTCACCCATTGGGTTGAGTTCTGACAATGACATTTTCGGAGAAGTTGATCGTGTCATCCATGAAGCCACATTACGAATCCTGTACTCATTTTCAAACTCGGGTATTTAGGTTTTAGCTCTTGCAAGACATTCGGTCTAATGAAGGTAACTGTTCTTGATGACTCTACTGGAATGTTCATTTTAACAACAATTTCTCAAGCGAAGCAGCTTCTTGTATGTTCAGTAGCTTTTTTTTCTAGCCGGTATTGGTCATAAATGGTTTTCACACGGAGTACCAAACAACCTTCATCTTTGCTCTGACTGTTTTCAATCCATGCGTTGGTTACTCAACACATTAATTGATCTTTGTAGCATGGATTTTCCGCGGCACGTAAGTACAATTATGGTACAATGTCATTTACGGTATTTATCTGGGTCGTTTGTTTCTTTTTAACCTAATTTGGCCAATTTGCATCTCTGTTTTTGTTTCAAAATTAGTACCCCTCACAACTGTATTAAGAGAGTGGTTGAGAGCCAAGTGTAAAAATTCACAGAACTCTTTAAAAGACAAAACTAAATTGTTTTCAAGGATTTTTTTCGAGCGAATACACCTCTTTTTTTGTCGGCTTCTGCCGTTCTCATTGAAACTTTTCTTTTTTTGTTTATCTGCTTTTTTTCTGGCTTTGTAAACTTTCATTGTGTTCTTATTCCTTATTTTCTAACTGACTATATCCGGTTCCAGTTCTTTTCACGTTGCTTGTTCCAAGATCGGAAAGTGAGTTTTTTGGACCTCTGGTCGGCAACGACTCTCGATGTCCAGATTTTGTGTTGGCTGATTGAAATTGGTCGCTTCATTGGGTCCAGGTGTTCGGGGCTCAATTTTATGATTTTGCCTGAAAGAATACCCTGCAAGTTCGACTCGTTTTACTTCGCCCTCAAAATTTATGTTTTTTCTATGAATTTACAATATATGAAAAAACCAATCTAAAAGAATATAACAAACAGGAGAGGTTTGAAATTAAAATGTCCTTTCTTAAATTCTCACTAACAGCGAATGATCGACCGATGGTCAATTCATGACAGAGACTGACTGATAGCTAATCAATACAAAAGGTCATAAATATCAAATCCTATTAGAAATTTAAGCAAGGAGAATTTGGTAAATTTTTTTTTGTAGTAGAAGTCTTCAAAAATTTTTCTTTTTTTTTGGAAGAATTTTGACAAATTTTCAGTAAACATTTTTGTTCTTTCCAATTGATTTTGCTTCAATTGAGTCTATTCGAAGTGTCGAATGGAAAAAAACGCTTTTCGATAATTGATTTTTGAAACCTTTTTTGACTTTTAATCATATGTTGTTAAAAAAGATTTCTTAACATATGCTTTGTCCAATTTTTTTTAGCTCCGTTCTAAAGCTTTTTTTTGAGTCTCCATATTTTTGATCTTTTTGTGTTGAAGTTCTGGGTAACTTTTAGTCTCTCAAGTGCCAAAAAGGTGGCTAATTAATGGTTTCTAAGTTTCAAATTCCCATAACTGTTGAATTTAAGTTATAACGTATTTTGGAAATGTGTTGGGGCATCTGCATTGTATGACGTTTCTATCAGTTTGTTGAAGCTTTGTATCGCGAATGATACAAAACTCCACTTCGCTTGTGTCAAGATATTTCATTCAAGTGAAGATTGGTAAAATAGAAAAGACTGATAATGTTCTGTTTGTTCACCAGATAAGCGGTTGTTCATCCAGTGCAGTTTAGCATCTAGAACTTTGCCAGAAGATTTCATGAACCCACTGATTTGATACTTTTGGCTACTGTGAATCACAAAAAATCTACGAAGAGTCTATCGAAATCTATCTAACAAGTTAGTCCTCTTTTTCATTTATTTCCCCATGTTTTTCAAGTACTAGTTTGATTAACCAAAACTCTATGACCAATTTTTTTTATATCATGGTCATTTTGTTCAGATCAGTATCCTTAATGAAGCTGAGATTTATCATACTATGGCAGTTGAACTGAATCTGGAACTATCAAAGCCATAGTAGAAGATTGAATGTTCCATTTGACTATTCAAAGGCCACTTTGCTATGCGCCAAAATAATAAAATTAGACTAATCCCCCTCACGTTTTAATCAAAAAACGCTAACCAGCGTTTTTGGATTATTTTGCATTGTACTATTTTGAGATACCATTTTTGGTGACATACCCTAGAATTTTTCTAAAGGCGCCTTGGGCGCCAATATATACTAATTTGAGGTCATAGCGCGCGCCGAAAAAACGGAATTTTTTTGGTCAACATTTTCCAAAAAAAGCCTAAAAACGTCTTTTTGGACTGTTTTTTTCAAAATTTTGCCTGAGGCGCAGAAAATCTGGCCAAAACATGAATTTTTTAGTGCTTTGGCAGAGCTCGGAAAATCAATTTGGTGGACCTTAAAAAAGTCGACAAATATTTCGATTTTTTGAAAATCCGCCCCCCCCCCCCCTCGAGAAAATCCTAGATCCGCCCCTGATTCATAGTAATCGATTACTTTCTTATGTTTCTTTTCTCAAAAACATTAGTGCTCATGTCTACATACGGAGTTGATTCAAGTTATCTGGAAAAATTATACAGAGGTTCATATTTTGAACGCGTTTTGCTCAAAATGGGCCAACTTTCGACAAAGTTTTATAAAAATGAAGAATACATTTTGACTCGATTGATTTTATCAGCATTTTGGCTAAAAACATTGGGTCAGTTTCTGAATATAGTACATCAAATTGATCGCTGAATTGCAAACGCGTTTATAATAATCTTTTTCACTGCGTTTTTCTCACATTGGGCTAATTTTAGACAAAAAAAGACGAAAAAGTGGCTTTGAGTCAGAAACATCACAGTGCAATTAATTTTTTGCAAAGGGAAACCCATAGCTAGGTCCTCAAAATGGGCATAATTGGGCTCGACTTCATTGACTTAGAGTAATATTAAAAATACCGATCAAATGTGAAACAGAATGTGCGTTTAGACTAGCTCCCTAATGATCATCAGGGATAAACATGCAAGGTAGACGTTTTGTTTCACCGACGATAGTCATAAAAAAAGGATATTTCGTTCAATTAAATGCTTACTTTTTATTTTAAAATCAATTTTATATGATTCATTCCTTCAGGCATTCTTGTTAAACACTATTGGATTCATTAGGATGCTTATTTCCAATTACCCAATTTTGATTTCCAAACTTTTGATTCAGCAATTCAAGCTTTCTTGCCCTAATGAACTTTTTTATGAAAAATTTTAGTGACCAAGTTTGCTCGCTTATCAAAGCAAACCCCTGAAATGATTGACTACTCTCTAAATAGTCTTCAAAAATTTTGGTAGAAATAAACTACAAAATTTGAACTGTCAATATCAAGTTTTATTAATTGTTCCGTCTTTTAATGAAAGTGATGGAATATTTGTATCAGGGTGGTTTTTCTCCAGACCAATTTCGACTTTCAACTAGCCATTTTTGGAACGGAAGTTCTTAAACCACCTGAGAGCCACAGCTGTTCTGAGCTCAAATTCTGTAAGAGAAATTTTTGTACCTGTCGAAAACTGGTACTTTTTTGAAAAGTTATCGGGGCTTAAAAAATGACAGTTTGGCTAATTTGAGACAATTAACGCGAAAAAATTTGTTTTAATAACGCGTAATTGGCTATTTACAAATTGTTCCAAACTGAACTAAGGCTTTTGTTTGTTGTTATCAATACTTCAGAAGACGCTAAGAACATCATTTTGTATTTTTTGACCGTGTAGGAGAATTTGTCTAAAAAACTCCAAAAGATTAATCTTTTTTTTCAATTTTTTTTAATTGTTGCTCCGACTTGGAAAACGGAATAACTATGCGTGATGTGGTTTTTTATTCAATCAATTTTCGACGATCGGAATAACAGTTTTTAGCAGACAATTTTTCACCCCATTGAAGATATCGACTACCTGAAATCAAATTTAAAAAGATATTTTTACCTTCAATCGTTTTTGCAAAGTTATGGGAGTTTGAAAAATGCCAATTTGGCCATGATCTTATGCGCGCTTTGAAGATCATAATGCTGAAAGCAAAAAACAAATTATTTATGCCTGGCGAAATTTCCCGCACAACAACTTGGTTCCAAATTGCATTGTGGCTAATTAATTGGTCATATTAGTATTAAACGACTCAAGTTTTCACAATTGATCATTTATATTGTCCAAAACTTATTGATTTTCAATATATTTGCAGCATTCCCAAAGAGTGCCGGACATCAAGCCGACGGGACTTAAAGCCGAATCGTAAAATTAGGGACTTCAAGCCGAATATTTTCTTATAAATTTGATTAGATTAAATCTGTTTAATCAAATTTAAAACTTGATTAAAATAGATATGATTAATTTGAAAAATTTATTGAAGAATTTCGGAACTTCGGGATCTTTATTTACTAGTTATTGGCGTTTTCATGAAATTCAATCCTCCAAATGATGTTTAGGAAAGTTGGAAAATTAAGATCATTTATCCACGGGGGAAAGGACCAACACAAGAGCTGTACAGCTCATCACGGCGAACCGCTGTTGTGCCCCTGTTTAAGAACTACATGCAATTATTTTTTAAAATTTTTTTTTGGTTATTTTTCTGGGCTGGGTAATGTTGCTTCACCCTCAAGCAACGAGCACGGATCATGGTGGGCCTCGAACATCCGACCTTTCGATTGAGAGGCGGAGACGTAACCACTTCACCACCGCTCCCCTATTAAAACACAGTTGAAGGCGTTTTTTCATGTTTATAATTTATGCATTTCAAAAACCGGCTGATGTTATTAACGGATGCCAGTCCCAAGTGGTGCATTGTCATGAATACCGCATTTGATGGACTAAACTTGCCTAAATTTTTGAAAAGCAACGTTTTACAGATGAAAAATAGTGTTTTGAGATGCTTGTAAATTTCAAGTTCGGCTTGAAGTTCCTTCGGCTTGAAGTCCCGTCGGCCTGTTGTCGTAGACCCATTCCCAAAAACGTTTTGATATAGATTAAGGGGCAGTCCGGGCTTTTTCCTGTATAAGAGTGAAATCATATGACCACATAACTAGCTTATTTTAAATTTGGAGCAATTTGGCGTGCATGATTAAACTTCGATTTTCGATTTCAGCCTCAAAGATAAAGTGTTCAAGATATTAAACTAGCTGAACAACTTTGTACGAAAATCGGAAAACAAAAAAGTGACCTTTGAAAAACAAATTGTATCGCAATAATTTCATTTCCGCTTCATCTAATTTGTCATAAATTAAATCTTCTATATTCTGTCTTTTTTGATTACAAAACCTTTTTTGATTACAATACAAATCAATACTGTAGAGCAACAAGACTGCTCGTATATCAGAGAAAGGCACTGAATGTTCCGACTGTCCTTTAATTAATATTGATCAAATATGTATACTTGTAAACTTTTGCTTGGGGATAAAAAAGCGTTTTTTGATGCATTAATAGTTTTTGATTGGTATGACAAATTCTGCCATAGATTTATTTGTACATTAAAACTGCTCCGTCCGAAGAGAAAACGACAAACTCATTTTGATGACTTTTCTTGAATCAGTGAAAAATTTGCTATACAACGACGTCAACATGTTTTCATACAGAAAAGTGGCAAGGAGACACTCGTTAAGATATCAAAGAAATATTTTTTATCTTGATTTCAAGGCAATGTTTCTTTCACGTTTTTTTTTTCAAAGTGAAAAGATCAGAGAAGGTTTCCGAAAGTTACATCTATTAACTTGATTGTCATGCAATGTTCTCTTTTACTTGGAAATTTTTACTTAAATTGTTTAAATATTTGAATACGTTTTTAATTTTTTGAATTTCAGATTGGGAAAGTTTTGGTAAAGGTGAATTTATAATTTTGTAATCTCTAGTGTGTGTTTGTGTAGAGTGTGTTGCTGCGTGGCTATGTTTGTGTGGAATAGTTTGCAGCGTTATTCGGTTGAATCAGAACAATTGATTTTCGCCACGAGATGAGCCAGCCTTGTGTACTGGAAATGTTTTAGTTTGAATGCTTTATTTGACGTTCAACGCTAACAATTTTTTTGTCGTTTTGAGTTGATGCCATCAAATTTAACATAGTAAACGTTCTAAGCACTGAAATTGATTCGTTTATGCTTGATGTATGTCGAGGCTTGAGTTTTTAGTAGCTTTAGGCTATTATCCATTTTCCCCCACATTTGAATTTCAGTTTTGAAAACTAATTTTACCTGGTCATTATGTAATGATATTTTGCATATGCGGTAATTTTGTGTTCGACTTTATGTTTCGACTGTGCTCGACATATGTTTCAACTGCGCTAGACTTATGTTTCGACCGCGCATGACCTTTGTTTCGACTGTGCTTGACCTATTTTTTGACTTTCTCGACCTAAATTGGGTATCTTTTCGACTTTCTCGACATATGTTTCGACTTTCTCCATTTATGTCTCGACTTTTTCGACCTCTGTTTCGACTTTCTCGAACAAAATAGGTTATGCTTCGACTTTTTCGACCTATGTTTTGACTTTTTCGATATATGTTTTCACTTTCTCGGCCAAAACCGGGTATGTTTCAACTTTGTGCTCGACTGAAAATTGCTTCTCGACCGCGGAAAATCAGTGGCAAAACTGCACTTGCTCGACTATCCAATTCGAAACTGAAGTCGAGCGCCTCGACCGGGGATGGTAAGCAAAATAATTATTGTGAACAAATCTGTTTTTCATACTTCGCATCGTAACATCACGCATTCAGTCATATTGACAGCTAAAACAACTGAAAAAAAAATGAAACTTTGAGGGGGAAAGTTTGAAAATTCAAACTCTTAATTTGAAATTTGAAATTTGAGGGGAAAGTGGAAATGAGCCTAACTTTCTATTGAATAGAGCTATCTTTTGTTCCAATGTTTGAAAAAGGGATGGAAAGTTTCTGCTTGAAAGATGGAATGGAAAGTATTGACGTCCTGAGATATTTATATCACTTGTGATCAATTTTAACTAATTTTTCCGTCTTTGAGCTTATCGCTCATTAAATATTCTCTCTGCTCTATATCTGTTTGAAGCGGGCTTGATACCGGACATTGAGATTCAGGAAGTGACACGGCATTCGAGGATTTTCTTTTTCTGATTTCTGAAAAATAGATGTAGTTTTTGCGCTCGGTGTGAATTTTTCTTTCAGAATTTTTTGATGTTCGAACTAGCCATTTCACTGGAATTTTTTATGTCATCTAATGTTTTCAGCACAGTTTTGATAAAGTATTTCTCGTGTGATCAACTTTGATTGAAGGGTGATCAACTTTAGTCACGTGTGATCAACCCATAATTACAGGGGTTTGGAAATTGCCAAAGTGGTTAATTTGGGACAATTCATGATCGATGTATTTCATTCATTGAAAATGCTAGCAGTGATTTAATGCAGCTGATAATTTGTTCAAATTTAACTTGAAGGGGGCTGTTTAATAAACATGATGGGTTGGGGAAGATTTTACAACTTTTCATTTTTAATTGAAATTGCCATCAAATTTTTCATTTATTTAGTTTTTTCAAAACATTTTCAACCTACTCCAACACATTGAGGCAGATCCGGACCACTCAATTTTCCACCTTGACACGAGCAGTTTTGTAAGGCTAATGGCTACAAAAATTTTTTTCAAGATAGAAAAGCTTATAATGTTATAACGCTCACTTGGTTCGTTGTTTGTGGTGTTTTCCATCCAGTATTAACTTTTCCAGGAAGTTATAAAGTTGAAAAGATCAAATAAGGCAAAAAACATGCACAATGCAACATCTTGTGCATGTTTTTTAATTTGTTAATGCTACCTAGCATTAAGTTGAAAGTACATATAGTAAGTATGCTTCGCTATGGTACCAAGCAATTACGTATGCTAAATTTTCAAGGAAGATATAATACAGTGGTTAGCGTAGGAGATTGCAAACTTTTAGCTATACGGTTCGAGTCCCACTGGGGTTGGGGATTTCCTAAAGAGTAAAAGAAAATTGGCTTAAGCTGACAGGGCTATTTGAACATAAAAAAAGATCAGTTGCAAAATGGTTTGCTATGAAAGTTATGTCTAATAAAAAGTTGTGGACAATTAAAAAAGATATCCCTTTCATTTAGCTCTCTTTTACTCCCCCTCCCCATATTTGAAGTTCAGTTTTGAAAACAAAACAATTTTAAATGTCACAATGTAGAGAATATTGCATGGTCAACAAACTAACTATTGTTAACAAATTTGTTCTTCATACCTTACTTCGTAACATAACGCGCTCAGGGCTCTTTTTCCTTTCACCCCCACCTAAGCTCTATTTTATGGGGTAAGGAGGGGTTTAGCAAGGTTGAACATGAAGACCAAATATTTTTGTCATGGCCTAATTATTTTTGTTGCTATTTCCGTGCAGTTTATCTAAATCGTTTCAAATTCTGACTTTAACTCATACATGTAACGGTACTACTATAATAGAGTGGTCCCTCGAAAAAGCAACTATGATAGACAGGTCCCGCATGCATTTCGCATGTTATAATTTTGAAAACTAATTTGTGTATAATTTATTCATTTCAAAAATCTTGCTAAATATGTTCCGCCAGAAACTTTTCAGATTGAAAATTGTAATCACTATTGTTTATATATTGAAATTTGCTCGCTTTACTTTATTTTACGGTTTAACAACCATATAATTGGATTGACTTATTTGTCATCAAAACCCACTATTGGTGGTTTTTTTTTTTAATTTTCAACCTTAAAATGGTGAGGGGGAGGTTTTAAGAGGTAACAAAACATGAAATTTGTTTCAAAGTATACTGCGACTTCTTTCTGAAAGGCGTAATCATAATTATTAAACGATTTGAGAGCTCTAGGTGTCTTATTCTCAAGGGACCTGGTTATTTTCAATGGACCACTCTATCATAGTAGTACCCACCCGCATCTAAGTTTAGGCGTAAATAATTGATTATAACGGATTATTATGATGATTTTTTGACAATTATAATCGATTATAATTACCAAAATTAGGTCTTTAAGGGATTTATAATTGATTATAATTGTGTTATTTTCCAAGAGATTATTATCTCTTATAATCGATTATAATTGATTATAATTGATTATAGTTCTTACTAAAAACCCTTAAAATCAATTATAATCGAATATAATCGATTATAATCTCTTATTTTGCCGAAATTTTCTTATATTCGAAATATATCTTATGGGTTATTTTTTTGTGTCAATAAAAAAAAACTCTGAAAGAGAGATCTCTTGAACAATTTGGTTCATCTGAACACAAAGTTATACCACGAAACAAAAGTTTCATAGAGATCCTTTCATATGAGTGGAAAGGTTCTCGCGGTAGATGAAAAATAAATTTTCGCAATCAATCATGAAACTAAATCCATCTGCTGATGTTTTGGTGTTTAAAAAAGCTTAAAATATGCATCACAAAACAGCTCTAATGGGGAAGAAATGAAAAAAAAAAACTTATAAATTTGAATTAATTGGAAAACTTTAAAAACATTTTTCTCATTTTTCATAGGAACCAACGTACACAAAAAGCATAAAATATAGGCAATTTATATGCAACTTCGAAGACAAAAATGGACAAACAAAAGGGATTATAATCAATTATAATCAATTATAATGGATTTTTGTGCAAAACTAATAAAATATAAATTTGAATAAAAAAAATGGATTATAATCAATTATAATCGATTATAATTGTATAAAAAAATAGACGAATAAATAATCGATTATAATCGATTATAATGGATTATAACTAATTATAATTTGAATTTAAAAAGAGAGATTATAAACGATTATTAATTGATTAAAATTGATTGTTTTTCAATTATAGTGAGACTGGTACTAAAATCGCAATATAATCGATTATTAGCGCTTGAAACTGGATTCGGGCATGTAACTTAATGCAGCGCATATTTAAGCACTATATTTTAATATTCAACACAAAATATGGTTGCACTTCTGTATGACTGCATTCATCAATTGTTTTAAATCAAACGGGGGGGGGTATAGTTTTTGCTACTGTGCTGGGGGAGAAGGGAAGGAGTGGGCTCATGTGAACAATCTCTCAAACCTCCCCTAAATGGTTTGAGGAGGGAAATTGGGAAATTGTTCACTTGATTATATTTTGTTTCTTTTCTTTTGTTTGTTTGAGAGAGGGTGGAGGAGGTGGGGAGGTTGGTTGTACATTCGGTAGGTCACATGGACTTTCGTTTGAACTGAATTTTCACTCAAGGGTTTACAAATTTTCAATTTTTGAAAGGCGCGAGACTTTCAACGCTTTTGAGGATATTTGCCGCCAAAATAAATGCGGGAGATGATCCAAAAATCAGAATTTAACCAAGGCTGAAAATAATTCATTCCATCAGAGATCAATCTGGCAACCAGCCGATCACCAAGCCAAGAGCTTCACCAAGATGCAACAAGGAATTTCTCACCTGTAAACGATTTCGAAGAAACGAACCAAACACAAACACTATAACCAGCTATCATGGTAATCAACACTATTTTTTAACCTTCCTAGATTTTTTTGCTGCCATTTTGAGCAGTTTAGAAATTACCATTAATTATTTTCCATGATAGAACGAACAATAATAAGCCTCCCCCCCCCCCCCCACCGCACACGAGCATCAATTTTATAGTCTAACGAGGAGTGGTTTTACAAGGTTGATTATGAAAAACAAATATGTTTGTTATGGCCTAATGTCAATTTTCAAGACAATCAGTCAATGTGAACAGTAATTTCAGTTATATAAAAATTTGCAGGTGGGGGTTTAGGAAAAAGAGCCCAAAAATGCAAAAAATTGTATTCAATTTTTGGCTCTTTTCCAGTTCCCCCCTTTCAAATTCAATTTTGAAAAGTCTTTTTAACGTGGGCATAATGCAATGCAATTTGGCGTGGTGAACAAATCGACAATTCTGAACAGATTTGTTCTTCATACTTTACAGCAAAACATCACGCATGTAGTCGAAATAACACATAAAACAAACATAAAACTCGGTATTCTGAAAGGGGGGAACTGGAAAATAGCCCATTTTTTTGGTATTTTGGTTTTTGTGTTTCAATCATTCATGTTGCTTGTTGCTTCTCTTCAGGTTTTCAGCAAAGTATCACTGATTGCAGTAGGAGTTGTTCTACTTCACCTTGCGTTCAGTTCAATAGCCAACGGATGGCTGTTGAACCCACAGTCAAGATCCAGCAATGAAATAAAAGAAGATAACTTCAAGAAGTTTCTAACTGATTGCACGCATGGATCTAGATGTGCACTCCGAGTGCAACGAAGTCTCGTCAGCACCCTAGCACGACCATTGGAGCGTGGTATAGAGGAAAGTGCGGAAAACGAACTTGAAAGACGGAAGCGTAAGAAGCACAAGAAACATAAGAAGCATAAGAAATCAAAGAAACATAAGAAGAGCAAGAAAAACAAGAAAAAGAAGAAGAGTAAAAAGAATAAAAAGCATAAGAAGCACCAGAAGCATAAGAAAAACAAGAGTAAGAAGCATAAGAAGCATCATAAGAAAAGTAAAGGCAAGAAGAAGACTTGTCCTGCTAAGCCTTGTAAGCCTGGGTTTGTTTGTAAGAAGAAGAAATGCAGAAAAGTGCCAGTAGTAACTCTGGCACCAGAACCAGAGCCTCCTGTTGAAGAACCAGTTCATGAGGAGCCTCCAGTCGAGGAAGAACCACAGGCGGCGGAACCGCCTGCTGAAGATCCCCCTCCGGAAGAGGAGCCGCCCGCTGAAGAGCCTCCGGCAGAAGAACCTCCAGCTGAAGAAGAGCCTCCCGCCGAAGAAGAGCCTCCCGCCGAAGGAGAGCCTCCAGCCGAAGAGGAACCACCTGCAGATGAAGAAGATGTTCCGATCGAAGATGCCGTCGCAGAGGAAGCTGAGAACGCGGCCAACGAAGAGGAAGCGGAACACGAGGTCGAAAAGGAGGCTGAAAATGCAGCCGCAGAGGACGCAGTTGCGGAAGCGGCAGAAGACGAAGAAGCAGGCGACGAAAGAACTCTTCCATGATCTCAGAGATACTTATGAAAATTAGCTCTCAGATTTGAATTGTTTGTTTCTGTTGTGAAGGTTTTAGCTTTTGAAAAATTAAAACAGTTGTATATTTAAAATAGTTTTTAAATATCTTAAGGCCGTCATTAATTACGCGACCAAAGAAATCGGCAAGTTTCAAACCGTTGCAGATATGGAAAAACTCAACAAATCACTTATGTTTCCTTTGAGCGAGTTAGCAGCAAGTTATGAAAGACCGAAAAAAGCTTAAAAACGAATAGTTTTTGTGCTTGATTTTTGGAAACGTTTATTTGCAAACCGCCTGGAGTTCTCCAGTAACAGAAACATTGTGTCTCATTTTTCATTTTAATTATTTGTTCTCGGAACCAAAAATTTTCTAAAGCTTGAACTTTCAAAACACCTACCTTAACTGCTATTTACCCGTGCGATAAGCAAGGGTTTTGCAATCGGGTAGAAAACTTTTTTGGAACTAACTGTTCACAGAACAGCCATAATTAGAAATGGTAAATTTAGGTTCAATTTATGAATTCAATTTTCTTAGTTTTGATTTTGGTCTCGTTTTGGCGGATACTGTGCAACAAGGTCCTGTGCTCGTATCTGACAGGGCCTGTTTTTTTCGATATATGGGGAAAACGGGAAAAATTTGATTTCCTAAAAAATGCCGGTTTAAAATTATGCCGGTAAATTTTATCGGCTTAGTGCCTTAATTTTGGAGTCATTTAAAATAAAACATAATTTTAATGCTCCAGTCGGGATTGCACAAAATGCTAAAAATCTTAATAGAAAATATAATTTCTCAGGACAACGTTTTTGTTTTTGTTGCTTTTTGTTTCTTTTTTTTCCCGCTTAATAGGTTTAATCGGCTCTTTTTCCTTTTCCCCCAACTGCAAATTTTTAGAATAATTTTTCTAAGCACATTGTCAGATTGTTATCAAATTTGGTATACAGACTAATTAGGCGATGACAAACATTTTTAGTTTCCATACTTAACATTGTAAAACCACTCGTTACATCATACAATTGATACCTATGTGAGTTGATACTTAAGTGGGAAGGAAAAAGAGCCGTTTCATCTTATTTAAAATTGGTTTAATGGCCTCATTTTGCGTCTTTCGGACTTTTTTGATGTTAGTTTCATATTCTTTTGTCTAGGCAAAGTTTTGCGTGAAAATTAGCCGCAGTCCTTTCGGTCGATCTGATTTTTTTACTACTGAGTGTCTGAATCCCTCTCGATAAAGTTAGGCTCGATTTAGAATAGTCTAGTTTTGTTCAAACTTGATTTTTTATTCTTCGACAAAAGACGGACGCAGACGGTGTAAAAATTCTTTATTCATGCCGTAGCAAAAATTCCTGTTTGATAAAAGCAGGTATTATGAAAATATATTTTTTTATTTTATTTTATTTTTTTTGAGAATTTGGAAAAAATTTTCGTTTTTTTTTAAATTTAGTTTTTCTCTAAAATTACTCTACCGATTTTCAAAAAAAAGGTACCGATGAAAAATCCGTCCGCACACTCCCCTGTGTGCCTGCAAAATTTACTGGTTTTTTTTACTTTACCCCACTTTCTACAGCCTTAGAAAAAGTGTGTAGGTGGAAATTTTGACCCATATTTTTTGGATTTTCTTTATTTTCTCGAAAAATACTTTACCAAATCTGAGATTTTGGTTTCAATGGATTGAACAGGTTATGGGAAGCTCCTCGTTATAAGCGTCTACGCCCATTTGTTTCTACACAAAACGTTATGGTCCTCAAAAAATGCAAAAAATTAATTTTTTGACAATTTTTTGAAACGTTTCAACTTTTCTCTAAAACTACCTTCTCAAATCTGAGATTTGAGTTTTTGATTTCAAGTGGTGGAACAAGTTGTGGGAAGGTCCTCTGCATATGCGGCTACACCCAATTTTTTTTTTTAAATTGTGACCAACGAAAATCAAATTTTCGGTTTTTTGACCGTTTTTTGGAATATTTTAGCTTTCCTCGAAAACTAGCCACAGAAATCTGAGGTTTTGGTTTCAATTAAAAATAAGGGCTGTGGTACGCTCCCCTGTTTTAGCTGCTAATTCCAAATTTTATAACGAGAAAAATTATGGCCCTCGGAAACTCGACTTATGACTTTTTGACTGTTTTTTTTTTTAAAGATTTTGGCTTCTCTCGAAAACTACCCCCACAAATTTGAGATTTTGATTTGAATAGGTAGAACAGGTTGTGTTAGAATGGGTTGTGCATAAACAGATACGACCAAAACATTTTTACACGCAAAACTATGTCCCTCGGAAAAGTCAATTTTCAATTTTTGGACCGTTTTTTTATTTTTAAATATTTTTTCTTCGTAATTTACCCTCCCAAATCTGACCTTTTGGGTTCAATGGAAAAAACAGGTTGGGGAAAACTCTTCTGTTTTTTGGGACCTCGCAAAACAATATGAGTTTTGTTTAACCGTTTTTTGCAATTGTTTGACTTGTCTCAAAAATTACCAGCCTAAACCTGTGGTTTTGGATTCAATCAAAAGAAAAGGGTTGAAACAAGCTCCCTGTACAAGCTGTGACCTAATCAAAATTATTTCAAAATTCCTTGCTCCTTATTTTTATTACAGACACGACTAATTCTTTTCGGTGGAGTGCAATTCTCTTGTTTTTGAGATCATTATAATCATAATAAATTGTTTGCAAATTAGATTCCAGTCATTGTAAAAGTTACTACATTTACAACTAAACGAAATCTCATTGAGAGAACGTTGTGGAACTATGCAGCCCGTTTTCAGGCTCCTCTGATCATGCTATGACTTCTGTTATTTTTTAAGTTCGATAGTTAATCAAGAAATAAAAAAAAAGATATATTGAATTAAAGAGGAAAAAAAAAGTTTTTAAACAAAAAAGGGGAAAATTTCAGCAGTATATCTACCCTTGAGAGCAAATATTTTTTCAAAAATACCTATTCTACTCAAAAATGAGTTTAAACAGTTGATAGTTTTCTAGATTAAAATTGTCCAAAAACTCATGGTTGAAGATTTGTAATTGGTATTGAATGCAGCTCTGAATCTTAGTTACAAAATCTGGGTAGTATTTTAGAACAAAGTTGAAGAGCTTTCTAATTCTAACCTTTACAGAAGTTTTTTGATTATCATTTGATTGCACAGCTATCTGCATAGCTAAAACTCTCTTATTCAAAATTGTATTCAAATTTTTCTCAGTTACAGCTTCCTGGACAACGGCCGATATGCACTCTTTTCTCAAAACCGTACATAGTAACTTTAATAATTCATAGATATGTAATTCTTTTACGAAGTGTAATTTGCGTTTTTGTCTCAGTTCTTCGATGCTTTCATTTCTTCTCTTAAAATAAATAACTTATTTTAAGTTCAGTTGTTTCTAATTTCGTTTTGTATGTTGACGCATAAGCCAAAACCCCGTGCTGTAAAATGGGTTCCACATAAGCGTTATATGCTTTCAGTATTTGATCTTTACCTAAAATTTTCCTCAACCTGTAATACATCCCACAAAACTTCGACCTTTATTTTCAATTTTTGTAATATGATCAGTACAGGAAAGTTTAGAGTCAATTTGAACACCTAAGTATCGGTACGATTGCTTTTCTTCAATATTTATTCCATTCAATTTGACATCTGATTTACCGCTGCTCTTCTTAAATACTATCATTGTTTTTGTTTTATCTTCATTTAAGGTCAGCTTGTTTTTTCTGCTGTTTTGTCCAACGCTCTTGGTGTTTACCGGGTAAGTCACTGTTTCTAGCTGTTGTTTTTATGACAGTGTCGTCTGCATATAAAATCAGATTACTTTCACTATTTTCATTTAGCTCAATATCATTTATATAAATGATGAAAAGAAGCGGGCTTAGTATGGAACCCTGTGGTACCACATAATTCACATTTTTTATTTTGAGATTGTTTGGTTTTAGTGGCAACGTATTGTTGTCGATTTTTTAAATAAGGTTTTAGAAGATCAAAAACAGGTCCCCAAAAACCATATGCGTCACATTTCTCAAGTAAAAGAATGTGGTCAACTGTATCAAAGGCTTTCTTAAGGTCACTGAATGTGCACTGTGTCTTCGTGGTATTAGAGTTCCAATCTTGACGCACTTCTTCTATTAGGGTTATCAAAGCATCAGTTGTACTCCTTTTTGATCTGAACAACAAAAACTGGCAGTTTTGTAGTCACTGATACTTAGAGAGATATTGGTTCATTCTGTTGCAAATGACCCGCTCAAAAATTTTACCCACAACTGGTAAAGGAGAAATTGGTCTGTAGATCGTTGACTTCTTTGGAGAGAGGTTTAATTTTGGCAAATTTGAAACTGTCTGGAAAAACTTGTCTATCCAAAAATTTTTGCAAAAATTTTTCAAAACTGGAAGCAAAAATGGTCATTTGTTTTTCAAGTTATAGTGATTATGTCCATATGTATCCAAACTAAACTTGGTTTTTAGCGATTCGACTATATTTGAAATTTCATTTTGTGTTATTTCAGCTAAAAACATTGAGTTAAATTATTTTCTGATTCTTAATTTTTTTAAAGTAATAAAATTCCTTACCAATTTTTCTCCAGTATTTGCAAAGAAATCGTTAAGTTCATCAAAATTTCTGTTTTTTTCTTACCGTTTGTTGTTTTTGGTAGCTAAGGTTAGATCATTATACAGACGGAAACGTTCTCTGCTGCTGTTGTTGGATTCCAATCGTAATTTGTATTGATAAAGTGCTTTTTTTTCTGACTCAGCATTCTGCGAATTAATTTGCTTTGAGATTCAAATTTACTTCTGGCTTCAGTGGTTCCAGTTTTCAAAAAACATTTCCTAAGCCGGTGTTTTTCTGAAGCTGCATTTTTCAATTCATTTTCAACCCAGTGCTTCGAAGTTTTTCTAATTGAAGTTTTTTCTGATAAAAATGATTCAATGTTTTTTCTGAGCTTTTCGTTCAACAATAAAAAACGCTCGTCACAATTAAATTGGCTAATTTTTGTTTAAACATCAAATAAATTTTCTAGTAAAGACTTATTTAGTTCTTTTAGAGAAGATTCCGATTCAAGTTGGAACCATGGTCGGGTTTTGGTAATAAAAGGTTCATT